GTAAATTTTGAAAAGGGCTCATTTGACCCCGTTTGATACGTTTAGTGTTAAATATCGTTTAAAATATCCTTAGTCTATTAATGACTCACTTCCACCAACCTAAACAACTGATTATGCCTGTTCACAATGAGTCCCAGTCGCTCGTGGAATGTTGTGTAATTATTACTCTTTGTCGAGTTCGCTAGATCCTCGAGAGCCACCCGAAGAACAGTTAATTGACCGCACAAGTGTAACACGAGAACCGCAAGGAACGTGTCGAAGCAGGAATAGCATATTGCAGTTAGTACTGTGCCCATAAATTGTCCCAGCCATGTGATCTCGAAATTTGGACTCTTATTCGTGTCGTAAGGGAACGTGGCTGGATGAAGGAGCCCTCCTAGATCGACTTCTGACGCGTTTTGCATGTTACTCCAAATTTGTAGCGATATAAAAGCGAGTAGCATGAAGTAGGTAAGAGTGGAACAAACAATGGATATCATTCGACTGATTTTCGCGTTTTTTATCATCGTTTGTCGATCGTGATTTGCGATTGGCTCGGTTCAGTCGTCCAGCATTTGGCTAATTAACAGTGTTAGGGCTAGAGCGATAGAAATTATATAGATATACTTTTGGAGAATATTAATAGTTAAGAATGATTTGAATTGATGGATACCAGTCTTCAATTGTCAAGAAAATTGTTAACGGTTTGGTATTAATTAATTAACTCTTAAGTATTATTAAGACGTTGAAACTGAAGGGTGTTCTTGAAGATCTCACATTGTCTACAACTATCGAATAAAGATTAAATTCAATTGTTCTTGTTTTATATATTGACGATGAAAGATTATATTATATTTAATTGAATAATATCAAAATGTATCGAAAAATATAAAATAAAATTATAGAATATAGATAGTACTTAAGCGTTAATAAAGTTGATAAAATTGACTTATTTTAGATGGTTATAATTATTTCTTAATGAAGACGATCGTTCCATTTCAAATTCAAAGAATATATATATTGGTTATAATACGTAAATATTGAAAAGTACTAAATTACCTTTTTTATAGTACCATAGAACTATCTGCTTAATTAGTGCAAAGGCGATTGGTATATTGATAGATAAATTCTCAATTACTTCATCTAAACTGGTTGATTTTAATACCAGATTCGCTGTTTGAGGGGCACAGATAAAAGTAAATGTTACGGAAGTCGTGAACCAGAATATTACACTCGAAATTAATCGTGATCCTCTAGATATTCTCCTCGGTTCTGGCCACACACCAAGTAACGTCAAATTAAAACGGTTCCATCCCATAGCAAATTCCATTTCTCGTTTCGCACGACACTTCACGTAACGTTGAGAATCATAATAATTAGAATTATTGAACAAAAATCTGAATGCATTGACGAAATAATATTATTAGGAATACTTAAGATTTTCTTTAAAACGGTATAATTAGAGAGAGAGAAAGTGAGAAAAAAAGGATATTATAAAAATTTCAGAATTATGAAGAGAAAAAGAATCAAAATTATAAAGTTCGAAATTCAGGGATGTATAAAATTCAATATTATAGAGAGAAGAAAAATTATAAAATTATGAAATTCAATATTAGAGAGCGCGATTAACCATTCACCAACTAACTCTGTATCAACAAATCTCTATTTTTCACGACTGTAAAAATTGAATCACTCGGATCATAAAGCGCTCAACGAGATTACGAATTTCAAAATCAATTTTTTAAAAATTAAGAATGAACGACTCGTGAAGTAAAAATTTGTTCACCACGTGAGAAAAGTAAAATTCCGACTATCCCAACTGTTTATTCTATTCTTTGTCCTTCTTTCTTCCGTGTGGATATTCCGACAACTGATTCTCCAAATTGCGCGCAGCCCTTTCGTACCGTTCATTACGCATTCTGAATCGTCTCGCTGGAACCTTTCGCTTAGAACTTTTAATGGCCGCAATTTGCAAGTTCGCGAAATGAAAGAGACCCTACAATTCAAACTCTTTCGATAAGTCGTCAACGATAAGAACAAAGACCGACGAAATCTAAATAAAAAGAACTACGTTCTTTGATAGTCTGCCTTCTCCACGAAACTTCGTATTTTCGATAATAATTATTTTATCTTCGAAATAACGACAGAAACTTCGCCTCGAGTTCGGTTGCAGTTAAAGCTCGAAAAACTTTCGTCTATTTCGAATTTTTTTTGTTCAGAGGAAACATTCAGTTCGACAAAAAATCAGGGAGGATGACGAGAAGTTTGTGAGAAACGTTTGATGCACTTACCAGTAATCCGTGAATGGTGGTGAATGTATACAGACGTTCTTCATGGACGAAGACTTGTACAATTCAGGATATCTAAAGGAAAAGTTCTATATCGAGAGACTCGAGGGATTTAATGGGCTATTTGCGACTGTTAGCAACACCGAAAGATAACCCAATACGATTTGAAGATTTCTGTATGTCGTGTATTTTTTAAGGTAAATCGTGGTACATACGCTACTGAACAAGAAACATGGAAAAAATACGAAATTTGCAGTTAAACAGAGTGAACGAGTGGATCTGTTCATGATGAATAGAAGACAGCTGGCTTCAAAGGGTGAGACATTTTACTAGTTCGATTCATACGCGCAGTCACTCATTTCTTTATGAAACATCCTGAAACATCCGAGGTGGTTCTTCTATCTCTTCTACGAAACTCAGTACTCAAAAGTGTAGATTTCTATTCGTACTATCTTTATCTTTCAAACATAATCTCGCTTCTATAGTTGGTTACTAATTGTAAGCCAGTTATTTACATTTCTAAAGAGATATATTTGTGAGCGATATTGATAAAGGAATATTGACTTCGATTTTAGTATTTTTCATTATTACTTGAATTATTAGTATTCATTAATATATATGTTGTTAGTAATATATTTTTATTACTACTAAATATATTATTAAGAAAACAAGAGAATAAATGATCTCGTCACAAGTATAATTTATTTCTATTTTACAAAAATTGAAAATGTTTCCGTTGCATAGGTAAAGTAGTAATATGAAAGAAATAAAATAAATACGTCTTAATATTAATTACAAGTTTGCTTGTTGGTTTTTCTCAAGAAATCAATCGACTTCTCCGGATTTCTCGAGCAAAATCCAAGTTCCTTTTGCGTAGGATTCAAGTAGATACTCAAATTTGACCCAAAGTAACTAACAATTTGTTTAAATCGTTCTGTTAAAAAAAAAAGAAAAAGTACAATCTAATATTCAATCATTTAGGTCAAGTTTGAGCTGTCGTTAATTTCTTATTAGTTTGACAGACGGTTTGGAAGTTAATTAATTCTAGTTTCTTAAATTACGAGCGTAGTTTTGTATTAAATAACGTGGCAAATATATACAGTTTTGGCTGGACGACCGATTCCTGATGTTTTTTCACCCAAATTATTCGTGATTCCATTTTCCAACTCGTTTCGATCTACTAAAAATTTGACAATTTTGCAAATCTGCATTATTCTCGACTGCAATTATTTTAGAAAAATTGGACTACTTGTTCTCTATGATTTTTTTGTTCCATTGACTCAAATATCAGATTCAGTTGAATTTTATTAAAAATTATGTTTCTCTTCCATTTCGGAAGACAACAAAATAATTCAAATTTCTAGACCTACGATTCAATGAGTTTCGAATTTAAATAATTTTTCATTAAACTTCATCGTAAATGGAATTTATTTCTACAAAAAAATCGAATAATCCAAATTTTGATAGTTTTTGCGTTTCCAATCAAATCCAGATTGATCCAAATTATTCTAAATTCTGAAATTCCCATTGTTCACGAGACAAAGTCGATCGAGCTTCGGTACAAATGAACGTTCTCTCCCCAGTATAATCTGACTTCCGATTAGTATCTCAGCTTTCGAATTTCCGATTTCAAATTATAGCCAAACTTTTCGTCACTTGGAAGATAATTAAAATGACGACAGAAATATTTCGAAATTTCGAAGGAAAGAATTCCATGAGAATTATACCATCGGGATTTAAAAGTTCCACTTTCCCTCCAAAGAAATATCCAAGTAATCTGGCTTTCGATCTTCGAATGAAACCCACCATCAAATCCCAGTCTTCAAATCTTATCGAAGCACAATCGATTTTCTGTCACGTATATCGACTATCGAAACCCGATGATCGAGACTGTTTACACGCTCAACAACAGTCGAACAAAGATTGAAGGAAACTCTTGGGAACGTTTCTGAAAGCAAATCAACGAGTCGAATCGCTCGAATCCCGAATCACTCGAATGCTTTCACCGGTCGTGAAATCAGCGATTTATCAGTTCCGCTTTTCTCCAGACCGGCGGCGTGTCGAGGAGGAGAGGAGGGCAAGTACTACACGGTCCGTCGAACCTGCAGGAGGGATTTGAACGAGCGTGGTTCCTTCGTTCTAGAAGAAAACGTTCCCTGGCCTGGCTTGTGGACACAGAAAGCTCGAACAATCGTGTCTTCGTACAGCATCCATGACCTGTTGAAAGTGGCTGGACACTTGGACAGCTGCCCCCGGCTGAATCCTGCGAACAGCGTTGTAAATTGCTATACATTTTATTGCACGGTAATGATTGATGGAGTTAATGACGACGGTTTGTCGGGAGTAGCCTGAGGGTACTATAAACTTGTCAGATTATTGATAGCCACGTGAATGGATAGTAATTGACAGCTAGCGGAACGACGTGTAATTGGAATATCGTTAATAAGCTGTTTGAACGAAAAGGACGACGATAAGTAATCGAGGCGATGAAGTTCGAGGAAAGTCGACTCCGTCGGGACGAAGCGACAGGTTAGAAAGGCTGATTAAACAGATGTGGTTTGTAATGAAAGTACGCATGTATGTATTTCAAATATTCAGAGGGAAATTATTAAGCGCTTGGCATACTGCGCAAGTTTTTATCGAAGGATTGTTCTCAATTTCATCTGTTCGTGAATTTGAACTATATCGACAAACCGAACGTAATGGTATACGATATCCACTATAATTTCGAATCCATCGATTTAAAAAAATCATCGAGATTAACAACCTATATTGATTCGAAAAGAATAACGAATCTCCATGAGAAGATTTTGCAATTATCCTTCCATTAGTAATTAGTTTAAACAAAACCATTGGATTATCAATTGATCCGTAATATTAACACATTGATTGCCATAATTGGCAACTGATTGTTTCTATATTTCTACAAATATTTTAGAACGATAGAAAAATGCGCTTTCGTTGCAGTTTTATTGCAATAAAAATATAAATTAAATATAGTTTTTATTGTAGTATAATAAAAAATCAAATATTTCATCGTACAGGTGAAACATTTAAATTTCACGCGGCAGTCAACGTGTTAATCCAAAAAAAAAAAAGAGAGAATTTCTATGACTCGACTACACGTGCATTTCCTTTTCGAGCTTCCCAATTTCCCTTCCATTAGAAACCAGTTTAAACAAAGCGATTATGCCGGTACGAGTCGAGAAAATCAAAGAACCTCGCCGGCTGAACGGAATCGTAGCGAGCAACAGATAACTTTCTTCCCAGCTTTCGCCGGCGACGTCCTACTGACTGATTCGACTTTTACCTCTTAGCACAATTTCACTCTGCGCATACGCGCGTACACGATCGTGATAGGACCGAGCGATACGCGTGTCCCGGGAAATGTCCCCCCACGTTCGAACGAACGACAGAAAAATCGAACGATGACAAATTTGATCTGAAGATCTGAACGAGTCGCGTCGTTTAGTTCGTCGCATCTGGTTATATTGATCGTATAAGCGATTTCTAGAACCTAGAGATCGCCTGATGTTCGTCCTCAGAGTAATTTCACCAACACTCGATCGATTTTCACTCCGATAGACATGTGTGAATAATTTATTGCACTGGGTAACGCGTTTAATCCGAGTGTTTATGGTGCTTTTAAGAAGCTGGACGAGAGATGGATAAATGGATAGATCAGGTAGAAATAGATATATAGAGGTAGATACATGAATAGAGGAAAGAAATTAAGTTATAGATAAGAACGTTGCGTTTGATTGAAATATTGAAAGATATTCTTTAAGCAAACAAATATCCCAATTTGTCAGAGACAAATAAATGGATAGATGGAGATAAAAATAGAAATAGAGATAAAGCTAGAGATAGAGATAGAAATAGAGATAGATATAAAAGTAGATACATAAATAAAGAAAGGAGAGAGAATTTAAATTTGAAGTTTAATAGATTGGAATATTTATGACTTTTTAAGGAAGTAATATCTTAATTTGTCGATACTGGAAGAAAGATAAAGAAATGGATAAATGGAGATAGAGATAAAAACAAAGATAGACATAAATGAGTAATATTGTATAAATAGAGAGAAGAAGAGAGAGTTTGAGTATTAAATTATGCGTAGAATATTTGATTCGAATAGTCACGATTTTTAAAGAAGTTAACATCCCAATTTGTCGATGATGGAAGAGATATAAACAAAAATTATGATAGACATAAAGATAGATAGAGATAGGTACATAGATGTAGAAAGAAAGTTGAAATAAAAAATTATTATTTTTGAGAATTTGGTGATAGAACGAATTAAGTATATTATCAATTAAGTACTCGAATGATACCGATTTTTTTTTGAGAAACACGTGTTTATATTTTATAAGAATAATTATTATCCTGTTCATTAAAAATCTGCAGACTTTTCTAGATAAAGTTTTTACATCATGAATAAAAAAAATTTTTGACATGAATTTTTTAAATCTTCGGAAAAATTTATTTTTTTTCTAAAAGAAATTAATGATCGGTTTGTTTTTAAAGAAAACGTCCAAAAAGAGAAAGAAGGAGAAGAATTTCTTTAAAAAATCCAAATAATATCGTTAGCTGAATTATTAAAATTTTTCGATCCTATACCTTTCCTAAAAGAGAATTTTTCTTGAATATTTTTATTGGACATTTCGATAAATTTGTAGATAAAATTCTGTGAGCTTTTTATAGTTTCGTAGCCATCTATTTATCTCTGTCTAAAGAATTCGCAATGAAAATATTTCATGCCCGTAAAAAGACTCGTTCTTTCTAAAAGAAGTCATGAAATGAAAAAAAAGAAGCCTATCGACATTTCTCGGATCTACGAAACTGAAAGGCCGCACACCAAACATAGCCAGCTACAAAACAATATGCTAATTAACGAGAATCGCCATTATATCACACGAACGGACAACTTCCCGTGTGTTTTGTAACTCTGCGTTCACCTTTTTACTGAAAGGAAAATAATTCCTGGAAAAGTATAATAGTTTCATTTCAAAGCTATGTCGTATAACAATTCTTTCAGAATAATAATTCAATTTCAAAACTGTGTACCATAATAATTCGTAAAAACTATAATATTAATTCTAAAGCTATACGTGTAAAGGAATAATTTTTGAAAACCAGCATAACAATTTAACCTTAACTGTATTAGAAATAGAACACTTGAAATCTGGAAAAACATTCGAAACTTGAAGTTTATTTTGAAATTTTCGAAACTCAGATAAATAATATTGTAACGATATGAATTTATTTTTGTTTAAATAATAATAGTCCAATTGAATTTGTTTAAATTTCAGATCTCACTTTATCTGATACAATTTCATTAATAAATAAATTTATTTTCTAAAAGAAAGTCAAGACTTTTAATTCTTCGCGTGTCAGATACTTCTTTAAAAAGAAAAAGAAAAAAAAGGAAAAAATAAATATTATTCTAGCTTTTGAAAAATTCGAAGCCTTATCTATAGTTTTATTAAAATTCCAAGTTCGAATTTTACGGAAAAGTAAAAAAAAATCTACCATAATAATTCTAATAATAACATTCTATTCTAATAATAATTCATATGATAAATTATTATTAGAATGCTCTATTCCATTTTAATAATAAATTGCTATTAAAATAACTTATTTCAACAATCATTTTTCAAAAGTACCACAACAGTTCAGTTCTAGAGCTATATAATACAATAATTCTCCAAAGTCAACTATATCAAAATCAGTAATTTCAAACTAAATCCCAAAGCTGTCAATCACGATAATTTTTAAAAACGGTCATCGAATTTCAGACGAAGCATGATACTCACAAGCCCAAAAGAGCAGCCATCTTTTTCTCCATCAAAATAACCGCGTCAGCGCCTCTCTGTATCATCGCGTCACAGAATATCCTTTTGGCACAGGGTGTATTGGTCCAATCTCCATCGATATGAGCCACCTCAGCAACTTCCGCATTCTCCAGATTCTGAAGAGCGTCTTCCAATTCCTGATCACTTTCTATACTCCTTCGCCTTCTCTCGTTCCTCCCATCGACAGAATTCTTTTCAACATTCGCCGGATTCTCTACAACGCTTTCCAAATTCTTCCTATCAGCCAGATTCTTCTGAAGAGATCCCAAAGGGCCATCTTCAATTATCAAAACAGCAGAATCTTTATTCTTTTTTCGATCGTTCACATTTCTGCTCGGAATAAGAAACCCCGTCACGTCGACGTTCCGTTCGCGAGCAGGAAGATCAATCTCTACAATCTCGCTGATCGAGTCAGCCCCCTTTCGTTGAAGACGTTTGTCCCTGATTAAATTCTTCAGATTCCCTTCAGCTTGGAAAATGTCCAAATAATTCAGACTTCGCCTCCTTCTCCTCGAAACACTGCTCTCCCGCTCGTTCCGTTCAATGCTCGACTTCATTTCTCCGTTCCCCATTGATCCATCATCCCCCTCGACGATCAACAGAACACCATTCTGACTGTCACTTGAACTTTTATTGTCGTTGTAGTTGTCTCTCGTTTCTTCGTTTCGCGGCACGTTCTCAAGGAAGTACACCGTTTCACCGTATTTGCCCATCCGATCCAAGCTCTCGTCTCTGCTCTCTCGATCAGTTCTTTCCTTCAAGTAAGGTTGGCTAGCGTCCAGAGCTCTCTGATACTCCACCTCAGTGCCCAGAGCTTCGTTAGATCGTTTTAGAACGTCCACGTCAAGGTACCTTCCGACAGCGACGGCGCCAATCCCGAGAGCAGCGCCCGACGCCACGAGTCCCAGCGCTGGGATCAGGATACTGCCGCCGGAAGTGACCGTGCCGATCTTGTCCTCGGCTTCCTTGCCTTTCGAGAGGCCCAGATTCTGCGAGATTTTATGCGTCGCTTCCACTAAAGGATCGATCACCGGCCGAGTGAGCTGCGACATTTTCTCCACGCCGCTGGAAAATTGGTTCTTCAAGTTCTCCGAGATCTTCACCCAGAACGGCGCGTCGTTCGGCCTCTTCAGCCCGTAGAAATGTTGATTTGGATAGTAGTTCTTGGTGGTGTAACTGTCGACGATGTTCTTGTCGTTCAACACATACTTCTTCTTCTGTCTCTGCTCCGTGAAGGAGTACTGATTTTCCGGGAAGTTGTCCGGTCTTCGTTTCTCGTTCTTCAGGATCTTCGCCGGCTGGACACCTAATTCTGGATGAGCGTATTGAAGAACGGGCGCTCTGGCGCCTGGTTTCAAAGCGACCGGTGCTATCTTCTGACTTTCTGGAGTGTACAATTGGGAGACTGGGTAGACCGACACGCCGTCAGGGTGCAGCATTCGTTTGTGCGAGGTGCTTCGGTAGTTGTCGGTTTTCGATTCGTAGACCTCTGCGTTCAGAGCTTCGTTCTTATAGTTTTTCGGGTCCCATTCGAAGTACACGTTTTTCCCTTCCTCTTCGTAGTCTTTGCCGTATCTGTTGGAGGAATTGAAGAGGAATTGAAGAAAATGTGTGATGTTATAAGATATTATATATTTATCTAACTATATAATATATCATGTTATTTGTTATATTATATTCATGCTTCTTTTAAATATGTGCAGTTGTCCACGAAAGCATTCGAACATATACGTTCATGTATATATTATAATAGATTATTTTAAAATGTATAAATAACATATATTAATAAAATTTGAAACTTACCTGTACAGAAAGAGTTACAAGATAATTGCCGTAAACATATATTTACTAAAGTATTAATAGCCATCTTAAATACAGAATATATTGAATGACAAGGATAATTATATTACGAAATATACTATACTTAGATTAAACATCTTATAAATGTATTATTTCTATATTTGTTTCGAACTTGATCAATGATGTCAATTAAATATCAACATGTTCCATATAAGATACATGATATATTCAATAAAACGTTTCTGTGATTGTTACTTAATACTTTCGTGACCAACTGTATCTATCTTGAAAATAGTTCAATTAATTGTATCATTTACAAACTTTATTTAAATATACTTAATTCTAATCTTGATATTCTCGAGATAAAAAATAGTAAATGTAGTGTTTTTTAAATTCGTCTTAATATTTTTAATAATTAATGAATACGTTCGTGGTTATAACTTGTAAAACTTCTGACAATAATTACTATTGCTAATATTATCAATTCAATCGTGCAAAATAATCCAAGAATATCTTTCAATTGTAAAAAAAAAACCCTTTAACTCGGAACCTTCGTTCCACTATCTATCCAGTTAATCTCAAATTAATTCCAAATTTAATTACTTCGAATTTACCACCTACCTTCTGTTAACATTTTTAAAGAACCTCTCAAACGTCTGTCTCTCCACGACATTCTCCGCCGGATAAAAACTCGACGAGGCATCCAAACTATCGCCAGATCCACCACCATTGTTGTGTATCAACTTGTTATTAATCACTCTCGCGTTACGCCACGTTTGAACTTTGTCCATCGGTTCGTCGGGGACCCTCTTGCCATGAATCACAGGAGTGCCATCTGTATCCAATGTCATCGGCGACCTTTTCGAGCTGGATTTCACGTTTATCTCCGACCTGATGACCACTTCCGCCGGTACGTTCTTGCCGTCACGATTCTTCGACGCGTTCGCCCCGATGTTCGTCCTCGAGGATCGAATCTGATGGGGCAGAAACGTGTAACGAGGCTTCTCCTCGGCCAGTTGCAGCTTCTTCTGCGACCTGTCCTGAAAATGTCGCGGCAGAAGCAACCCCCCCGCTGGAAAAGCTGCGTCGAATCTCGCGTAATTGGTCCTCTCCTCGGTGGTTGTCTTCAGATCGCTCTGAACGGGCTTCCAGCTTTCATAGACTTCCTCGGTCGTCGATTCCTCGAGGTGGACAGCTCGTCCATCGGTTCCCAGTGGCGTCCAATTACCGTAATCGATGTTCCCCTCGTTCACCGGTCGAACTTTCTCGGTGACGTTCGCTCTTTCGTTCGTGGATACGTTTTCGTGTTTAGAGAAATTCTTTTGCCCCTCAGAGTCTAACAGTTTGGCCCTCAGTTTTTCTATTTGGGCTTCCTCTAGTTTCCTGACGTCCTCTTTGGTTTTGGGCTCGAGCTTCGCGGCTTTCAATACGTTCGACGATGTGACGTTTTCGTTGAGTGTTGCGGACGTTGGATTTTGAGGATTTTGGAAAATTTTTGGCGGTTCGTTGGGTGTCTGTTGTTCGGGGGAGGATTTTTCTCGGCGTTTGATGATCAACGTGGCTACGTTTCCTTCGCTGGTTAACACTTTTCGCTCCTCCGTTTCGCCCGGAAGACTTCGCGATACTTTGAGCATCGTTCTAGCGTAGCTGGGCTTCGGTAGGTCTGCCATGTTGCTGTTAATGATGGCTAGCATCATCAACGCCATAGTGAACGTTACCTGAAATCATTAATTCTCGTTTAAATAATAACGAAATGTATAATAATAATACATATAACAGCATATATACATAATATAATAAACAGTCATTTAATTATAATTAATAATTAAAATTGTACTTGTAAGTAACCATTAGAAAGATTTTATATCTTTTATTCATTTATTTAGAGATGACACTTATAACTATCTATGGGAATTAAAGGATCAACCATGAATATACGTTTCGTGGCTTATATAACAATTCGTTTGTTACATGGCTGGATTGGAAACGGGTCTACCGGAAGTCCATTGTGCAGTCCTCGATACCAAGCTACTTTTACGCGTTACATCTTGCCCATAGCTTTGTATGGGATACGTTACGTGCTCGATTACGCTTACAGGGCCTATTATTTATTCTTTGTGCCGGGATTTTATGGCTGAGTTTCATGATTTCGCTATTTAAGTGGGTGTGAATGCGATTGTATTAAATGAAGGTTGGTGAACCGATTAGGTTGATGCTTGATTGAGATTAACGAGTGTGTGATCAGTCCGAGGAAAGTAACAAGCGAGAAGTTTATTCTCCATTTAACCGTGTAATTTATTGTTGAGTTTTTTTATTATGAGAAATCTAGTTTCCAATGAATCATTGTCACAATAACGAATAAAGTGAGTTTGATGAAATGAGAATTAAATGAAAATGTAAATGAGAATGAGCTTCAATTAGGTTTCGGAGTAAAGAGTAAATTCTGATTAGATTGATTTCATAACTAGTTGATTCGAACACTTTCTTATTCGTACATACAAAGTATCCAATTCTGTTGACTAAAAACACCTTTGTTATTGTAAATGTAATAAAATATAGAAATATAGGAATAAATAAATAATTGTACACTTACATGCAAAAATTTATATTAGTGTAGAAAATGAATTGAACGTAGAAACTAGAGTAATACTGTAATGAGGCTCGACTATCATGATTAAACATGTTTTAAACAATCGTAAAAATGTAATATAGAAGTTGAAAGATGTTTGATATCTTCAAGTACATATATGTATATATATGTTATTATGCTTCATAATATCAAATCGTGTAAAAATATTATACTAAAATTACTAAATGATACGAAATGAAATACTAATTAATTAATATGTAAACGTTACAATGTAATGTTTGTAAATATTTTTTTGTAGTCGCTGTATATTTAGAATTAAATAAAGAATTATTTCACTTTCAATTACACGTTAAGGAAAATATTTGAGGAAAGATCTTCTAGTATAACATTGAAAAATATCAACTTGCATTACGTGTCTAAATACTTATTTTTTATTTTATTGAGCTGAAAACGAAAGCTGAAAATCAAAGTTTTCGACTTGGTGACAGTGGTTCGATGATTTTAGGGTCACTTTCACTTTTCGTACTGTGTCGTCGGAATAACTTATCAGTGAAACCTGAACGAAAAATTTGTGCACCAAAGCCGTGATATCAAAACAGCGGATCCATCAAAGGAGTTAAAATGACCAGTTTGCAATTTTACATATTTGCACAACAGTGTATTTTTAGAGACTTCAATAATTTTTCCTTGTACTTTAATTTTTCTGGTACAAAACTTTATACTTTAATCATCGATAGTTTCAGTATTAACCAGTCAAGACTTCGAGAATTCTGTAGAAAATTAGCGTTGCAAATTACGTTCAAAAAATATCCTGAAGTAGTTTCTCATCCATGATAGATATACAGTCGTTGATGTTTTTTTGTTGTCTAAAAACTAAAGAGGGAGAAGAAATTTATCTAAAAATTGAGAAGGGAGGATTTTACTTTTGGAAAAAGGCTCTTAACACGTGAGATTAACTTTCGAAGAGTAGACGTGTTTAGTTGCATCGAATAAAAGAGTCATAACACGCGATCCATATTACACTTTATGAATCATCTAACTTTCTCCTTTACTTCCTCTGCAATCCAAGTAAAACCAAACCTGTTTCAACTATTTTAGGTGTTTCAAATTCTTCCATAAAAGGAATGAGGTTTACATTTAAGATTTTGAAATTTGAAATTACAAGAAAGTATCACGTACGTACATAAATTTGATGCATTTCAGCGTGTTGGAATTTCCTGCAATTTTCGAGAAAAAAATTATCCTCGCTTTTCTATTCGTTCACGGACGAAAAACAAGTTCACGATTGTCAAAGAGGTTTTACGCTTCAAAATGAGACCAAGTGGATCGTCGTATGATACAAAGTTGCGCGAGTTTAATTTATCGAAATTAAATCAATATTTCGCTGTCGTTGATCATAGTAGTGCTCTTCACTGTAGACTACTTCAGAAAGAAACTTTTAAGAACTCTGAATGCAAATAGAGATCTGTCCGTTTGTCAAATATAAATTGCTCTTCGGCTAACATCCACTGTACAACCTTGCAAATAAATTATCGGGAAGCACCATCGAGAGACGAATCTGTCTTTGAGAAGCGAGAATCGCGTCGCAGGAGGCAATCACGCACAGTGAGAGAAATTTAATGGCTCGCAGAAATCTTCGGCAAGGATTAGAAAATAGCGACGCAATAACTGACTGACTAGATACTTTCTATTATAAACATCGCGATTATCCATGCAGAATACGCAATTATATCGTTTAAACATCTTCAACGATCTACTCGATTATTTCGAAAGAAAAGACAACCTGAAGATATTAGAATGAGTATGAAATATAATGAGAATATAAAAAATAGTTTACTCATCCTCGCTAATAGTGACTTTTCGTTGCTGAGTTCAGGTACAAACAAATGGACTCAAGTAGCTAGAGTTTATTTAATCGGACATTGATTAAAATTGGATTCAAATAAATGGAACGCATATGAACGGAGTTCTGCCGAACTGCTTGTATCGCTTCAACGTGGTAATAATTTTTCATTGGTACATGAAAACATATCGAATTATTATTTAGATTAAAATAATTTTGTGATCTTCATTTTGCATACATTTAGCAACTCGTAGAATAATTCTTACACTGTGTAATTTTTAAAACTACCAAGCCAGTTTCTTGAACTAAGAAAAGGGGACTACTGAGCACTCATTGTAATTCTATTTTTTTTTTTTTTTAACTGCGTCCATAAAAATATTATTGATATTACAATGTTAATGAAATTTCAAAGTGTTTTCACAACACATATAATATATTAAAATCTTAAAACATCACACATAATAAAAAAAGAAAAGAAAAAAAAGATGAGACAGTACTTTGTACAACAAGAAATAATGTATCGTTAATTTATCAAATTATCTTTTAAAATTCAACGATTCAACGTTGGATATTAGAAGCAAAAAACATCCTAAGATCTTCGAACGACAGTTTACAATAAATGTTCCGATACTTTTGCGAGTCATTTGCAGATCGAAGTAAAATCGACAACTGGACCGAGAAGGCTAGCCTAGGCATCAGCAAGTGAAATAGAACGACATGCTTTCCCCGGGCACGTTTCGCGCACGCTCGCTCTGCACGCGTCGTGTCCACGCACGTCCAAGACGAGACGATCTACTTTTTCCATTCTGGTGACTTTCGTTCATCGATCCACAGCCGAACTGATCGATACCGAAGAAATTACTGGCCTGATCGAACACCCCCGCGTGACCTTAGCACGTCCACGACCTCGCGAACATTCTTTGCCTTTTCCAGCTGCCACCACCTCTCGTGAAGAAATACACGAAGGAAAGTGGAATGAATCTTCTGGTAATCGCACGGACTCTAATAGTGTTCTTGCAGTGGCGTTCGCAAATGGTACGAGGTTATCTTATGTCCTGCTTCTCTGTTATTTCGCGCCTTTAAATTTCCCTTTAAATACAACACTGTGACGTAATCAGTAGACTGCGGACGTTTCATGGAAATTCAAATTTTTACAAAGTGCGTGAAATAGAGGTTTAGAAGTTTAGTAAATACTCATATTGTTGCACAAATGCATTAAGAATCCAACAATTACGTTTTGATTTGGAAGCGTTGTGTTTTTAATAATATACAAGCGGAGTGATTTGAATTATTTTTTTTTTCGTAGTGTTTTAATTTTAATAGTAATATTTTAGTAATAGTAATTATAGTTTATTATACTTACACTTAATAGTAATAATTTTAATTTTCGTATACAGAAGTATTTAGAAATCGGGTATAGTACATTGAACTTATAATTTAACGAGGCAATAAAAAATTCAAGATTAATGTCAACTATTCCTCTACAGTATATATCATTTTTTCATTATAACAGAATTATACATTCTTCTGTGTAACACTTTTTAATTTCGATAAAGCAGTGGTTACGATTAGTTCGATGCACATTGCAGACGAACAAAATTTGTATTACTTTAGCAGTACATCCTATCCGTGACGTTCGCTGTTATAAATATTTTTACAAGTGAATTAAGTCGTATAAATCAATGTTAAATTAATTAAGATTAAATTCGAAAACAGGATAGCTATCTCTTTTAATTATGAAGTTAAATTTGAAATTCGAAGTGAAAATATCAAGTTGACAGCAAAATTAAAATGATATCTATAAACAAGATAATAAATGAATGTCATTTATGTATAAATAGCTAAATGCTTAATTCAGCAAATGAAAACGATAAATACAACGAGAATATTTTATGGTACATACATAAAAGATACAAAAATATTTGAAAAATCGAGTTGGAACTTCTTTCAAAATTAATTTTAGAACTTTGGTGACAATACACGTGCATGGAATTTTTTCTACTGTGATGTTCATTGAATTTGAATTTCCGTTATACGAAATGATGAAAATTTATAATTAACAGGTAGAATACGTATTGTTAGAGGAACAAACTATTTCAATTCATAAATCTTCTTCTCGGAATATTTCTAGGTCTGTGAATCCCTCATTCATCTTTTTTTACAATGTCGCGATTATATTCGCAGATCTTTCATGACTCTTGACTCTTATCTTTCTTCGTTGAATAGAATTATAATACATCCATTCTCTTTACTTTTCAGACTTCTGAGATAATGGCCTTCAAACA